ATTTTAAACATTTATCTTTGAATAAAAGAAGAGCAACAATTCCATCAAGAACATCTCTTGTTTTCCTTCTTGTTCTTAGAGTTCTCGACAAAGGAAAATGCTGCGCTTTATAAAGAGATCAGCAAGAAAAGGGTAGACGTATGCTATAGAAACAAGTCATTGAATAATATACATGATTCCGTTTAGTGATGAATTGAACTCACTCAATTTTCTGTTTGGAAATGAAATGGGATTTAACGTCCTACTGTTTTGCTCCTATACTGGGCTAATGAAGACGTTTATGGGGAGGTGGGGTGGAGGTAGCAGGTGTGCGCGTGTGGAGAGGTGGGGTGGGGATAAAATTGGCGGGGAAATGAGTTCACGTTGATTTAAATGATAATTTTCCAAGAGCTTGATGACACATCTCTAAATATGTTTATAAGATTCCTATTGTATTGGGGTGGACGCCGGGGTGAGTGCCCATTGGAGAATAAAATTTTGTGTTAAAATCCTCTCTACCCAAGGGCAGAGCAACTAACTCAATATTTGTGATACAACTTAACCTCGTCAGTCTTCATCTGGAAATACAGACCGGTGTCCCAAGCTGTATTATGCGGTGTCTGGATAAATTCAGTCTTTTATTTTATAAAAATAATGTGTAGGTGAAATATACCTACAGCACGTGGGCCATTCACTGGACTTCTCAAGGAACGGGAATCAATTATCAGGTCACCCAACAAAAAAGTGATCTGAAATCTTAAAATGGTTACGTGTCTGGATAAGCATTTTTGACCTTCAAGTCCAAATGACTCAATATAGCAAGGTCGGTTAACTGTAATATAGCATGTTAGCTGGAATTAAGTGCGGGGTAGATGGTCTATTGGTCCAGTACTAACCCTCCATAAAGTTACCCATCTTTACAACTGGCGCCATTTTGAATTTTTGTATCGCCACATCCCGTTCGAGAGCACTAATTCCTAAATAACGTGTGAATATTGATCTCTAAACCCAACAAGTATGGTGTCTCTACCCATAGGATCTTCTTGGTACCACAAATTTAAAAAATCCCACCAATTCTACGCTAAGACGTCACTATGACGTGAAATTCCAAATGGCATCCAAGATGGCCACCATTCCATATAACTGACCATAACGCCCTTACTATTCATGTTAGGGGAACCAGTTTGGTGTCCATACCTATTTTATGGGCAAAGCAGACCTTTACAACCACCGGCTAGATGAAAAATGCATGACGTAATTATGACATCCAAGATGGTCGCCACCAAACTATATAAACTGTCACAATGAGCACCCTAGAACGTTGATTTTGATGTCTATATAAATCTCATCAATTTTGCGTTATGACGTCACTCGATCAGTTGAGGGAAGTCATGTGTGCATTTGTATGTCCCCTCAATTTGGAAGTAAGAAAAAGATCGGTGCTAACTCGGTCATGGGAAGGGAGGGTGAAATTAAAAATGACCATAACGCCCTTACTATTCATGTAGGGGGGGGGGGGGGTTATAATGTCTGTATCTAGGAATGAGGGGTCAACCATTCCAGTAAATCCAACCGCCAGGTGAAAAGCCTGAGATGTCATTGTGAAATCCTATATGGTCGCCAAATAGCCACTGCAGCCTATAACTCTCACAACAGATGGGCATATTAGAACAGTGATTTTAGTCTTTATCCACAGGTTATAGGGGGTCAATATATTCATTAAAACCATTCGCCACGTTGAAAACATAATGGTTATGGTCAATTCTAAGTTGGCCACCGTAATGATAATTGACAATTCTAAGAAGGCCACCATAATGGTCAATATCACTGGTGTACACGGCCGTATTTTGCCATTAACATAACTTGCAACCCTAAAATATATTTAATTAAGATTTATTAATCTCAGGATTACAAGTTGCATATGTTACAGACTGCAAATGTAAACATTTAAAAAAAATCCCAAGTTTGAGGTCACCATGACAACCTTCTTCATGCATAGAAACGGATTATTCCTCAGAATAAGACGCATACTAATGACAGTAATCGAATGTAATGGTGACTTTAGATGGATATAACTTGGGTTAGGATATGGTGATTTAAATAGATCTCTTTGATAACGGTGAGAGTAACCTCATTGAAACGTTGCAGTTAATAAACCTAGTGAATGTCATCCATAAAGCTGTCTGTTATTAAATAGATCTCTTTAAATTATATCCATATTTGCCCTTGTACGTTATGGAATTTTTATAAACTATATTCATTCAACTATAGTTTTCATAGTACATATTATAGGTAGTTGAAATATTCCTAGCTGAATGTGGACAGTGTGGTTGGTAAGGCGTGCACTGGACGTGGGCGTGGTCTGCTTCTGGTTTTGTACGCCGTACCATCGCCATGATTGTGTCCAATCAAGATGTCAAAGTTCAGAGACTACACGAACTAAAAGGTTTCTTATTAAAACAAAACTATCCAGGTAAATTAATAGACGACGCTAACCAAAGAGCATTGATTCTGGACCAAAGCGTTTTAAGACAACCTAAAGTTCCTGTAGACTCTGATAAAAGCAACGTTGCTTTAGTTACTACATTCAATCCTTCCCAGGAAAATGGGAAGTCTACCATTGAAAATTACATCCAAATCCTTAAAAATAGCCAAACGGTGGATAAAATATTGAGAAAAACAAATATAATCAACAGTCTAAAGCAACCTTCCAATCTAGCTAGGATTATAACATCTTCTAAATATGATTCAGTCACTTCAATTCCAGTAGTTTCGAAATGTGGTAATTTAAAGTTTAAAACCTGTGACATTATCATTGAGGGATCATCCATAAAAATTAATGATAATACATTATATATCAAACAGGCAATATATTTTTATCTGAACGGATTTTTTAATTTTATTTATGTATATATATATATATATACTCCCCTAACCCCTGGGTTTATCTAAGGAGGGGAGGGGGCACGTTTTCAAGTTATACGTCCATGATAATAATTGTGCTGTTTAGATTAACTCAGGGGTTAGTGGAGTAGAACGGAATGAAGCCACTGGGGATACCGAGGATGCCAAGTCACCCAAGTCAATTTTAATTTTCACCCAAGTAATCTGTATTATATTTTTTTATTTCCAGCCAAGTCAATTTTAAAAGAATCATGGGCCATTTTGCCCGGACAGCGACAGTCCCGCCTGTTCTTCTTCGAAATCCCTCTGCTGGTCTTGAAAGTACCGTGGCGTGGAGGCACAATCTTAGTCAGGATGGGATCAGAGTGTGAAACGCATTGAAATGAAATTGGGGTTTAACGTCCTACTCGGAATGGGCTAATGAATGCAGTATATCAGAAGGGCAACTTTGCTCTGACAGCGGCAATACATCTGTTAAATGAAATTTAAACTGTCAAGAGTTATTTTATATGCACGCCAATGTGTACTAGGGACCCGGGTATTGATATCGTATGCCTCCTATCATAGCTAACGCTAACGAACATCCATGCATCGAATTCAGCGCACAGTTGTAAGACTATTGTAGGTTTATTGCTCTTTAAACTAGTAGTATTGTATTAATAATATGTATTTGGCTAATTATAAGATTCACACATTGTATTGAAGTCGTATTGTCTGATATGCACTTAAATCAAAATGAGCAAACAAGCATTAGCTGGTTCCGTGGGAATGAGAATATCGTGATTGAAAATTTACTAATAGCATCATTTGGCTTAAGTAGCTAATCATTTCAGTAATTGCACTGATTCAGGATCATGAACAGCCTGGTCTGGGCCTGATGTCCATATAGATAATATAAAGGAGACCCTGGCAAGCCTTTAAGTATATATATCATTGAGTTTGGGAGAGATTACCATCTGAGTTCTAGACCATTTGGTGTAGCGAATTCTATCCACAGACTCGCCCAGCGAGTGGGTGGAATGGGATTGAGGGGAAGACTTTATTGTAATCGATTATGCATTGTACCATATGTATCAAGCTGGACATACAAATTTAGAACTGAACTGTTGCACGGTTATTCCTGGTACCTAATGAGAAGATAGTAAGAAGAAAATACACGACCTGAAATGAAAGCCAAAGAAGACAATTGGAAATACTAGACGATCACAAGGCTGTTAAAATATGTAGTAAGAACAGATCCGCCGGATGTTAGATATGCCCGCTTTCCACGTCTGACAAACGACCCATGGTACTACGCAGTGTGTTGAAATGAGATGACGAAAAACAATTTTATGCCTATGTGCACAAATGAATGATGGGTCATACGCATGACTCTTGACCTTACTACTGGATAAAAACACAGAGAGCGTTGCCATGAAGTCAAAGGATCCCTTTTCTTACTGGACACAGCGGGTGCCTTTTCTTGGACTTCGGGTTCCTTTTCTTGAACTTGGGACACTTCAACTGGATTTGGTGCTTCCTTTCAGTTTAACTTTTAAAGATTTCACAAAATTGACTTGGGTGAAAATTAAAAAAAAAAATATATTAAAATTAACTTGGGTGAAAATTAAAAAACCAAAACAAAACAAAATATATTACAAATGACTTGGGTGATAATTAAAATTGACTTAGGTGAAAATTATATAAAAGAAAACTGCATTACAAATGACTTTGGTGGAAATTAAAATTGACTTGAGTGAAAATTAAAATTGACTTGAGTGAAAATTATAAAAAAAAAACAAATTATATTAAAATGAATATAAATAATAAAAATAAAATAAATAATATTATTTTTCATGTCCCTTTTCAGCCACCGTAATTTACGGTCTGTTGCAACAGGACGTAATTGAATATATATAGTGTATTGTTATATATTCTAAACAACATCGTGAGTTTACTGGACCGATAAATGATTTTTTTTTAAAAAACAGAGGTGTGTCCCTTTTCAGCCACCGTAATTTACGGTCTGTTGCAACAGGACGTAATTGAATATATATAGTGTATTGTTATATATTCTAAACAACATCGTGAGTTTACTGGACCGATAAATGATTTTTTTTTTAAAAAACAGAGGTGTGGCCATTTTGTGAATTTGTTGAAGACTAAATTTGTGTTATATAATTCGAGTTTTACAAGGTGAAGTGTAACCTGTGTAATCAATAGTTAGTAATGGCCGAGGCGCTCAAAATATCGCTGTATCTGTTCTGTTTATGGTCGTTTATGCAAGGTAAGGTTTTATGTTAGTCCTAGTAGATTCATAATGTTATGTAACACTATCTTAGTGATAACAGGGGTCAGTTTCGTACATATAGGGTTTATTTCCATCAGGTATATAAAACAGCTACATACATACAACAATACAGGAACTTAAACTATACAGGAACACATCAATGGATGATCTGTGTAGAAAATGCTACGGTCATCTGAAGAACATTAGTTCCATCCGCCATGTTCTCACCCAAGATTCAGTTTCAGCTCTAGCTGACTAGACTACTGTCATGGTTTTCTCAACGGCCTACCCCAATACCAACTAAATCGCCTTCAGCGAAGTGGAAACTTGCTACCTTTGGATAAAGTTCGGATGTCAGCTGAAAATGTTGCCCCTATGGTATATGATTTTTCTAACACTGTTTATTCAATACACATTTACGTGATCGTGGGATATGAAAAAACAAGCCAGAGCTTACATTACATAAATTCATCGCCTGGAAATACGTCTTTTTCTTTCACCGAAGCTTTTTGTAGAGATTGCTACGATAAATTTATGTAAATTTAATATCATTCGATTGATAATGAATATCAAATATCACTTAAAGCAATTTGAATTTTCTTTGTCCGTTTTAGACAAACTGTTTGTCAGTTTTTACCAAATGTTAGGCCGTTATGGTTTAAGGCCGTTATGGTTTAAGTCTCTAAACCGTATATTTATAACGTTACATAAAGGTAATACGTGGTCGACCTTGTGTTGTATATTAATTTTCAAATGTGAGCTCAATCCTAAATTTATTTTAGACTAACGTTTCTTCGTTCTCGGCAACCATATGGACACTTATGTTAAAAGTAGACTTTATTTTGTCTATATGTAAAGTCACTACAGTCTTTGTACCCTTTTATTTACGCTCAGTATGTAGATCCATCCTCCAACTAACTATGTACAGATAATTCCTGACAGTAAATGATTCAAACACTATATTATTATTCTGGTGGCCAGGCAAATGATTTAACTTTTGTTTGTAATATTATTTTCAGATTAATTTTTATTTTATTAATTTAATTTCGTTTTCAAATTTAATAAAATTTTCTTTTTTTATTGTGTAATAAAATAATGTATGATAACGATAGGCCATCATACATGTATTATAATAAGTGACCGGACAGCTTTCCAGAAACGGGATAATTCAATTCCAGAATGTTTAATCAAATATCCACAACGAACTCCATATTCCCAAAGCAATAGCCATAGAAATACTGTAAAAGCTAAAGTTCTCTGGTTATAAGTCTTAAAGGAAACAAACACTGTATTATGTATAGCAAGTTTATTTATACGAGACAATTAAAATATAATTACATAAAATAAACTATTAATAATATATATACTAATATTAACCAATTAATTAAAATAAAATAAAGTATTAATGACATATTAATATTTACATAAGTTGGGGGTAGGTAAGAGCTTTCTTACTCGTTGGAGTGTAGAGGCACTATTTCGTCTATAGGACGCCTATCTTTAAGTTATAAAACTACACAGATCGGTAGTTTTAAAACAAATAATATACAAAATATGCGCTTACCTTAAATGAAACAAACACTGTATTAGATATATAGCAAGTTTATGAGGAGCCTACTAGATGTCTTCCTTTTATAGCTGCATTATGCATTTATAGCAACTAGTTTATAGCAACCAATTTCGACAAGATCACATGCTGCCTTTAAGTCTGACCAGTTTTGTGGCTTTTGTATATCAACATCTTTCTGATACTGTTTATAAAGTCCATTGACAACCAGTTTGCTTGTGAAATAATTTGTCTACTCTGTTTATATACTGCTCACAACTCTCTCCTGGTTGTTGTTTAATGTTGACAATATCGGGATGTAATTTGGATGAAAAATGTAATTTAAAGTGTTCTTGTATAACTTGTCTGACATCATTTGGTAGATTTTCAAACCACCGTTTAGCACTTTTTTTCAGATGAAATAAATAGACTGATTATTTTACTGCTGTCTGTTATACCCTGCATGGTATAGTATGAATTAAAAGTCTTGGATCCAGGATTTTGCATTTTCACAGGAAAGTCCACTGAATGTAGGTAACTGAATATTTAACAAACCAGCCATTATCACTTGAGGTGGTACGGAAGCAATATCGGTATTTGTCGACGTGTGTGACAGTGGTTTGTTTTGCTGAACAGCCTTTGCTTGTCTCGTTGGGTATTTGTAGTTTTCTGGCGTTACTCCTTTAGACATACGGGAATCTTTTTAACATCTCCCCAATTGTAAAAGCTGAAGTTCTCTGGTTATAAGTCTTAAATGAAATAAACACTGTATTAGACGCGAGAGCTTGTTCCTTTTATTCTGATTTTTTAAGTAGATCGAGGCATTTGTCATCTAAGCTTCAACTACAAGGATACTTGCGCACTAAACTTATTAAAACCTTTAAAAAGTTCTATGGCCGTCATATTGATTTGATTGGTAAATATAACGTGTCTCTCTCGGCTATTATTCTAGATATATTTAATTGACACGTATACTATTACTATCATACTGATAATGTCGACTACATCGTTAACACAGTTCATCGCGTGCATTTTGCATACCGATAGTTCATTGGCCAATCACGCTATTTTACCGAAATTTCGCCTAATAGTTTGGATGCAGCTATGACGGGTGTGGCACCAGGCAGGGTAAGCTTAAACTTCCGGACACCTGTTACCACTGTTTGTCGTGTATTTTGTACACGAGGAGCAGTCCATTTGCTGATTACACTATTTTGCTTGAATACACTATTTTGCCTATAACGTTTTTTAGGACTTCGAATTCTGTCTTATGGTTTGGATTGTTCGTACTTGGTTTTATTTTATTCACTGTATTAGATGTATAGCAAGTGTATGTATTATATCTAATTCATAATCATATTTATACGAGACAATTAAACATATAATTACATAATATAAAGTACATTATTAATAATATATATATATATATATATATACTAATATTAAACATATAATTAAAATAAATTGACATATTAATATTTACATAAGTTGGGGGCTAGGTGTAAGAGCTTTCTTACTCGCTGGTGTGTGGAGGTACTATTTCGTCTATAGGACGCCTATCCTTAAGTTATAAAACTACACACTTTGGACAGAGAGCATCGATAGTTTTAAAACATATAATATGCAAAATATACGCTTACCTTAAATGAAACAAACACTGTATTAGATATATAGCAAGTTTATTAGGAGCCTACAAGATGTCTTCCTTTTATGGCTGCATTATGCATTCCTAGCAACTAGTTTATAGCAATCAATTTAGTAAAACACTAAGGTGTATTGTTTGTAACTTAAGGGCAAGGTAAAGTGACACCATCATGTTGCATAATAGTCTCAACACCAACAAGGCTGAAGATATTATTTCCCAACAAAGAATAGTGGCTCTTGGATACAAAAGTTCAAAATAAACTCTATTACTCACAATACACTATTTCACTGTCAATTCCCATTAATTCGTACATTCGCGTGTTATCACGTAAACGAAAATTTCAGTTTCATCACTTTCTTGCCATTAACAATAAACAGCTTGAACACCCATTAGTAGCAGATGTTTATCGTCTGCTACTATCTTACGAGTTGAGCAGCAAAGACGTTGTCTTTTGCTGGCTAACCAGTCACGTTGATATAAGGGGGAATGATCAAGCAGATCTTCCCCAATCACCCTTTTTAATACCATATAAAGATTTTAAATCATGTATAAATTATTTTATTTATGACCGCTGGCAACGGTCTTGGGATCTTGCAGGCACAAATAAACTTCATCACATTAAGCCTCTCCTAGGAGATTGGCCCAACTCCTATAGACCCAACAGGAGGGATGAAGTTGTTTTGTGTCGCTCTCGCATTGGTCATACCTTTTAACTCATATTTTCATTTTGAAGCGAGAGCCTCAACCGGAATGTGTTCACTGTCATGTTCCTTTGACAGTAAAACACATCCTGATTGAGTGCAAACATCTCAAGTATATTAGATCAAAATATTACCGTTGCCAGTCATTACGAAACAAACTTTTATTTTCAATTTTAATTGTATATATTTAATCATGTATATCGTTTTAACTATTTATATATGTAAAAGATTTGTTATATTTATTTTTAATTAATATATTTTCTGTGATATTTGTTTTTATTTACATGTATAAATTCAGTTATTTTATATTGTTTTAATTTGTCTCGATTGATTCACCATATGTTTGGCGCAATATAGCCCGGTTGGAGCTGACGTGCCATTAAACAACATTTCATTTCATTTCACTTTCTTGCCCAATCGCCGTTACACCTACAGGCAGCTAGTACAGTAGTCGAGTCTTATATTTTCGAGTTGCTTTCCTATTTCAATGTATCACGGGTTTGGGATCCGCCATTTTCTGTTTCAATCTTGAAAATGACCCTTCATATCTAGGCGAGTGATGCGAATAATTGTTAAACTGACAACGCTTAGCGGAACATTGCACAGATATGCAAAGGTTGCCTTTACATCACCATACATACAATTATGTCGCATTCCCTTTAGTAATAACACATTTCTACGTTGTATAAATGTAAACAATGTTTCGTAGGTAGCTTTCGTGTCCGAATATCTGGTATGTCCTTGACCTTATGCTAATATCAATGAGCAAAGTGTTAATTTTAAATACAAATTTTTAATTTAAAGGAGCTAAATCGCTAACATTTGGGACCTAGAAATTGACAAAAGTGGGTCGCAACGCATATAATACTGTAATATGAATGTATATAAACTGATTTACATTCACAATGGTTTCCGTTTTTACCCCAATTTCAAATCAGTTATGTTCGGCGAAATAAGCCAGCAGTCTCAGTCGAGTGCAAATTTCTAGCGTCTGGTTATTCCAGTCTACATACGCCGTTCGATTTGGTGCAATGTGTCTAGCCTCGTCCCTCGAGTCTCTTTTTACAAGTGGGGCTGAAGTGCATTATGGTACACGATTCGTGTACCAATGGTAAAATGTTTATTTTGTCTTAAATATTGGATATCAAAAGCCCATCTTATTCCGGTAAGATCACAACATCAATGTTGATTTAATTTGACAAATAAATCGTGTTTTCAATGTTCATGATTTTGGATGATATTGAGTTAGAGACTTAGCTACTTTAAACAACTGCGGAATACGTTTAATTCATATCAAAATACAAATGAGGTGTCATTTACGGGATTTGACAATATTAAAAAAAATAAGTCACGCATGAATTCATTGATGCGAGCAACACTTCATTTGGTAAATCGTATTATTATAGACTATTGCGCTTCATTTGCAAGAACTGTCACATTTTTAATATTAACATTATTCATATGGACCGTTCTGTAAATTGATGAAAACAGAACTGTCAAAATCTAAGCTATCATGGCTTCCGTGGTCAAGTGTCGGTAAATGTTAGCAAAAAGGCTTGTTTCTAAATTTAGGATAGATTATTATTCATTTAAGTTAGAATAATAATCATTTTGAGGGTCTGATATATTTAATTTCTTACCAAGATACAATTTTTGTGGGGCAAATTCATTTCTATGGAGTACCATTTGAAACCCATCATATTTTCCAATCAATCATTCAATAGTGGACTATTAGTGTACAATCTAAGATTAAACAATGTGTTGAGTGTGAATAAATATTGAATAAAATTTATAACAAATTATTTTACTGTAAAACTTAGTAAAAATGTTCAATCTTTAATTGTCAGTGCAACTTTATGCTTTCTGGCACAAAGTTTCAAGGGGTGAATTAATTAAGAAGTAATACAAATGATAACAATGTGTATTCATTATAAAAATAAAAAAATGCTGAAAACCAAAAGCAGTTTCAAGAAAATTGTGATGCAGTATTTACAATATTCCATACAGACCCGAAACATTTAATCCAAATGATGTTTATGATGAAAAAAATGGAGGGTATTTGAAAAATAAAAGTTTAATTATATGGACGTGGTGTGCTAAAACAAAGATAGTTTGAAGTCTTGATGGTTGTAGTGTATATATTCAGGTATCTCTGTGAGACTTTGTAATTTCCCATGTTGAGTTGTTTACCCTGTAGCTGCGCGGTGCTGAATGGTATATTTGCTTCATATTTTCCAAAGTTACAAATTCCAAAGTCATTATTTTTGATATTCATCCATTTTTTATTGTTCAGTATCATCTCAACTCAAGCACGTCTAGACAACAAAATAAAAGACACTAAAGTTGTTGTGAATGATTTTTTGAGGACCCCCCATTTCAAGTGTTGTGAAAATTTGTGTCACTTTAACTGCCCTTAAGAAACTGCCCTCACAATACTTGCTAATACTCCAATACAGCATATACCAGAATTCATCTAATTAAGGTAGCGTTTAGAATAATCCTTAAAACAACAAGACAGATTATAAGATTTAAAATATACACTAACTATTACAATACCCCTCTGGTCATTGCTGTTGGATTTTACCGGAGTGTGTCTATTTTGTTATCGCTTCATCAAAGTGTTGGAAGGCTTAGTTTGTTAAAATGAACATACGTAATATGACAATTCGTCTCTTTGATCAGACATCTCATTTAAAACTTCAATTAAATATATTAAAGGATGGAGAAAATATAGGGTGTTTCCAAATCTAATTTGCAATTTTTGTTTTATTTCAAGTTATTACAGCCGAGTACTGTTACTATTATTATAAGGTATTCTACACAGACGCAGACACCCGGTATTGTTCTTATGGATGCTGTACTACCGGAAGTAACGCCACTTTTTACAACGTATGCTGCGTTTACACTTATGCCAGGTACGATGATTTTTAGAAACGTTATTGTTTTGGATAGAGAAATGGAGTTTAACGTCCATTCGACACAAACTAGGTCATTTCAGGATTAATATATGGTTGAATTTTATTTCATTAATTCGCTTGCATCTAGAGGTCTTGAGCAGTAGGAGGAAAACGAGGTTGGACAGGCGACCCTACTCCTTTGTCACGTACAAGCGTGGAATCGAAATCACCCCACTTGACTCGATGACAGATCTAATGATGCAACACACATGCTTTAACCATTCGGCCACCCCCTTCTTATGGATGTTGTACTACCGGAAGCGACGCCACCCTTTACGACGTATGCTGGGATAGCTATGCTAACAGGTAACATGATTTTTAGAAACGTCGTTTTTTGGTCTTTTTTTTAAAATTAAATAATAAGGAATTGTTTTAATTATCTCAATTGATAGACACGTGCCGTTATAGTCACACCCATAGCATTTCAATCTTTACCCCGCCCTTAACGATAAGGTAAATTATATATGTTGTTCATATAACTGTGTTGTGATAGTGCGTAGTCATAAGTAAATTAATAATCTTTTAGAGGCATTTAGTAACTAGATAGTGCAATACACAAAAACACATACTTATGGGAAAACAGCTACTCATTTATTTGGGTGACGTTTCGAAGAGTATTCTATCAACGTTATCAAGCTAATACAGTAATACAAGTTGTTGTTTATTACATGATTTAACGTCCAATACAATAAATATGATATTATGGACAGGTTGATTTAATTAAATTATTTACACTTGAAAATTGTTAAAAACACAAAATAAAAACGTCTTCGGATATGAAAAGTTCCTTACAGCACACCTATAAATTCTCTGTCGTGAGAAGAGAGGGCTGGTCATCTTCTCCCTTTATCACAATAATGTTAAAACAGGAGGTCCAGCTGACTGATGTTTGGCGTCATCAGAGCTGATAGAAAAAAAACCCGTATGGAAAAAGAATCCGCTGGCTTTATGTGGAAAAGCGAAGTGCTCGCAGTAAAAACCACATAGCTGGACCGGTAGATTATTTGCATATTAAAAGTGTTCATCCAATAAGTTCTATATGGTTAAAATTAATTAAAAGTTCAAGACTTCAAAGTTTAAAAGTTCTAGGCATTCCACTAGAGTTTTTTTTGCGTACGGCTCTCCACAGATAAAAGTTACCTGAAAAGAAAAGAAGAGTCAGCAGCAACACACACACACCAAACCAATAAAACAAATTGAACCATTTATAAGAACACATGTTACATTAAATTGATTGATGTGCACTGTCATTGTTAATGATGGTTGTGTAGGTCCCTATTCCTTTATTTTGTCATTATTGTTCCCTAGTATATTATTATATTAAATCATGCAGCAAGCTGAACCGCCACACTGTCTTACAACTATAGTTCCTATCTTTGTAACTTGATATGTTTGTAACGTTAATTTATTCTTATATTATTAAAGCATCCAAGTGGCTTAGGGGCTACTATTGCTCTTTTAACGCAACTAACTTCACAGTTAATTACCGATTCTGCTATTAATTTTAAGAAGGCTTCATAAATTTTATATGACATATTCCGAGGAGGGAGAGTACATTTTGGAGGGTATATTGAAGTTTGGCGTCTTCCATTAAACTTCGTACAGGGATTCTTTTCTCTTCTAATTTATTGAATGCAATGCTGACATGATTAACGGTCAAATTGTGGCCACATTCGCACTTCACTGGTTTAAATTTATGGTCGGTAATTAAATCCTTAGTTCTCAATCTAGTGATTAACCCACACATTTTGCGCGAATTATGAGATCAATATATACAGAAAAACTAAAACAATTCATGAAACCATACCGGACAATAACTAGATCGACGAGGGGGGGGGGGTATTCTACAAAAACTTATTAACACAAAGGTTAAGTGCAGCCATAAGTGAAGTTAAGCAATCAATTCTCTATGATGATATATACAATACTACCGTGAGAATGGAATACGATTATCATATACCATGGTATGTTTAGATATCGTAGTTAACTTGAAGCTACTATCATATCTCTGTGATTAGACTAAAATAAACCTTATTGTTGTAATAAATCTAAAAATGGAGTAGATATAACAGATAATAATATTAGGAAACCGAAAATACAGTACTGAAGAATGCGTAGGGGTGATGGAAAACACAATATATAGGTTATTTAATAAGTCCTACAAAAGCACTAGGCAGGAATATCCCTGTGTCGCGGTTAAGGTCTGGGCTGTTCCTTTTAATGTGTATGGCCTCAATACGTTTGCGGGTTTTTTTTCTATCGGGAGGACGGCCGCCAGAGTTTTAGCATAAATCTAAGTCATCTACTACCAATTTAGCTGTGGCCCAACACACACAATCCAAGCAAGGACACAGAATTAAAAGAGTTTTAGCATAAATCTAAGTCATCTACTACCAATTTAGCTGTGGCCCAACACACACAATCCAAGCCAGGACACAGAATTAAAACGTGTCTGGCGGCCAACTTCCCGATAGAAAAAACTCGCACACTTATTGTTGTCCTGTATGGTTTCATGAATTGTTGTTATAGTTTTTCTGTATAATATTGATCTCATAATTCTTGTATTACTGTATTAGCTTGATAACGTTGAGAGAAATAAGTAGCTGTTTTTCCATAAGTATGTGTTTTATCTTTAAAAGGCATTTAGTGAAAGTGATATATAATAACAGACAGCTTTATGGATGACATTCACTAGGTTTATTAACTGCAACGTTTCAATGAGGTCACTTTCACCGTTATCAAGCAATGAGAGTGACCTCATTGAAACGTTGCAGTTAATAAACCTAGTGAATGTCATCCATAAAGCTGTCTATTATTAAAGTATGTGTTTTATAAAGTAAATTAATAGGTAGTACGAAAGTATTATTTTAATTATTTCCCTTTACAGATCAGTGCAGTTTTAAGTTTTAGTCCACTGCCCCCCTCCATCCAAAGCTGTTAAAGGTACCCTATATGCCCTCGATTGTCAGGGCTCTGGAGAATACATCATATCATTTTCTGCTTTAAAGTGTGCAATACAGATATTTGATTTTCAGTACTGCTACCAGTATCATCACAGGAATAGTAGTAGGTGTAGTGGCATTAATTATCATTATCATGGTGGTTGTATATGTTATTGTATACTGTTACCGTAGACCCGATCCAGCAACCCAGGGTCTTGTTATTACAGCCCCAATCACAGCTGAGGTATATTCTAGTAAGTTCTTACCTGTCTTTGATATACGAGTACGCTTTATGTGATATTGTTCAAATAGGTTAAGGAATCCTCTCTGAATTCATCCATATCCTTGGATTTTGTGAACCCAAAGACTGAGATATACGAATATGCTTTATGGCACATGGTACAAATAGGTTAAAGAATCTTCCAAGAATTCATCCTTCGTTTTAGTGAACCCAAAGACTGATATTCAATTCGCAACTGGATAACCAGCATTGGTAATATTTGCCGAATTTCTTGCCCATCTGGAATGGCAAAGTGCCATGATGTTTACATTATTCCACACACCATTCAGCCACAAAATGAAATAGGGTTTAACGCCCTACTTTTCTGCACCGCAGGCTTTGGAGTTCATTCAATCAACATCTGATTTAAAATATATAATTTTTACTGATTCTTTGTCCTCATTACAAGCAATAAATAATAAACAGCTTGAACACCCATTAGTAGCAGACATTTATGGTCTGTTACTATCAAACGAGTTCATCAGCAAGGACATTGTCCTTTGCTGGCTCCCCAGTCACATGGATATAAAAGGGAATGATCAAGCAGATTTGGCTGCCAAGTCTGCCTTAGATCTTCCCTTATTCGAATTTTTAACGCCATACACGGATTTTAAATCCTGTATAAATAATTTTATTTATGACCGCTGGCAACGGTCTTGGGATCTTGCAGGCACAAACAAACTTCATAACTTAAAGCCTCTCCTTGGAGAATGGCCAAGCTCCTACAGGTCTAACAGGAGAGATGAGGTTATTTTGTGTCGCTCTCGCATTGGTCATACTTTTTTAACTCATATTTTCATTTTGAAGCGAGAGCCTCAACCGGAATGTGTTCACTGTCATGTTCCTTTGACAGTGAGCCACATCTTGATTGAGTGCAAACATCTCAAGTATATTAGATCTAAATACTACCGTTGCCAGTCATTACGTCAGCTATTTGCTCAACCGGAGCTATATGATAAAAGTGCTAACATTTTTAAAAGAGACAAACCTTTATTCTCAATTTTAATTGTATATATTTAATCATGTATATTGTTTTAAATATTTATATATGTAAAAGATTTGTTATATTTATTTTTAATAATATATTTTCTGTGATATTTGTTTTTATTTACATATATAAATTCAATTATGTGATATTGTTTTAAATTGTCTCGTTAGATTCACCATATGTTTGGCGCAATATAGCTCGGTTGGAGCTGACGTGCCATTAAACAACATTTCATTTCATTTCTGCACCGACTGAGTTAATGCAGACTGGCGACCCCATACTATGTGCTATAAAGGTCGCTTTGCCCGGATTGCCCATTGTCCGATCCAAACGACTAGACGATAACTTGTTTCCACTGGCAGTAAAGATTAACGGTTATTCAAGACGTTAACCCAACCTCATGTCGTTGTCTTTTAATCAAAACACGACACACTCTCGCATTAGTTATTCAAAAATGTAAACAATGTTACAAAATTATTCACAAATGTAAACAATATTAATTATTTCGAATTGTATATTTTATCTTACAGATACTACTCAAACAAGTACCATATATCCAGGAGTTCGTTATCCTCCACCAAGCGCTTTTACCCCTCCACATGGAACTAATACTTTATCTTCGCCTCCAACCAGATATTCCGATCCGCCACCATCTTATGATACAGTTATCTCCCTGGACAGGATAACACGAGCTCCTCATGGAACTACTAACTTATCGTCGGCCCCAACCGAATATGCCGCTGCGCCGCCATCTTATGATACAGTTGCCTCCCTTGGACAGGATAACAAGAGCTCCACATGGAACTAATAACTTATCCTCGCCTCCAACCGGATATTCAACTCCGCCAGCATCTTATGATACAGTTACCTCCCCTGAACAGGATAAAAAGTGCTTTCAAGCACATGTCTACATGAATTAGATACGATTTAGAATGGTTATTAACTGTATATATATATATATATATATAGCTAATATTGTTTATATTATTTTATTTTATTTCCCGGTAATATAGAATTTAAGAAGCCTTCCCACATACATTAATGCATAGAAACCTTCATCGTCTGTACTTATGTCCAGCTACTTTTCCCAGAGAAACACACGGTAAGTTTTTGTATGCCTTTCACATATGTTTGTATTGTACGAGTTATGCCCCTTATAGTGATTCTCCCTAGGATGCCTATTACGTCAGACTGCGTAATAAATACTATCATAGCTTCGACTGGTTGTTTGTCTCTATACGCCTCATCCATGCAAGCCTGTTTTACAGTTGTCTTGTACTGACAACTCTGTATAATACATGGTGCCAGACGCGGTCTATTCTTTGAAATAGAAAGGTTTTAACTACTGGACCCTCTCCCTTTCTGTAGGCTGAATAGGGTTTTCATACTGTGAGCTCCGCTTCTTCGCCTCTCGCAGTCGACCGGCAACGCTGGCTGTTACCCGAATTTGTTTCGGGCATTTGAGGTTCTGCCCCCGCCCCGCCCCCATACGCCTGTGCTTTGACCAATTCATAACGGTGAACTCTCAGTTCACACTGATCTCAATTACGTGGTAAAATTATCAAAGCTTTCACCTTCGGAGTGACGGTGGGTACCTATTTCTGAGAACGGTTAGATTTTTCCTGGGTTTAGCACGAGTATTGAAATTTTGTAAAACTTGTTCTAGCTTCATATTATCATCTGGATTGTCCCAAACAAAATTATTATACTTCTCCCTGTGTATAGACATATAATGGTTCATCATAATTACTGTATATATACAGAGAAAGGTTTAACTGTATATAGAAAGAGAACTGTTTAGTATATTAGCTGTATATAGACAGATTATAATGGTTTATTATATTAACTGTATATAGAGATAATGGTTTATTATATTAACTGTATATAGGCAGATAATGGTTTATTATATTAACTGTATATAGACAGATGACGGTTTATTATATTAATTGTATATAGACAGATGACGGTTTATTATATTAATTGTATATAGACAGATGATGGTTTATTATATTAACTGTATATAGACAGATGACGGTTTATTATATTAATTGTATATAGACAGATGATGATTTATTATATTAATTGTATATATACAACTGGCGGTAGTTTTTACTTTGATGTCCATAGCAGTTATATCTCATAACAACCTGTCATGACTTCATAGGTTGATATATTCGTTCATATCAACCGCTGATGACGTCATTACAGGTTGATATTTCATATCAACCGCTAATGACGTCATCTCAGGTCAATATATTCGGCTCATATCAACCGCTGATGACGTAGATGATCGAAATAATACAAAAAAACACAGAAATAAATTTTTATTCTTTTGACAATTAAAATTTGTTATGGTACAGTTTCTAACATTCAGGATCGAAATAGACGGCGTACTTATCGACGTACATGTATTTAGATCGGTTATCCATGTCTAAGACATCTTTCAAAATTTTCTTTTCGTCCACATTGCGATTATTTCTCCACACACTACAAGACTTCAATGTATTTATCGCCCAAGATGTCGTTTGTAAAGTATTTTTGGGTACAGTCCACTTAAAATAGTCGGTCAAATCCTTCTTTGAACATACCGAAAACCTTCAATCATGGTTCACTGTCAGAATTCTTGGAAAAGAATGCCTTTTGGTCCAAATTTTCTGCAGGCTTTGGATAGATCCTCGTCGATATTTGCATTCACATCTATTCCATCGTCAATATGTTGGCTTAAAAGGATTGATTATTCGTCTGACTTCGTATTACTATCCATTTTGTTTTTGCTTTCAATTCAATAGTCCAAAATGGCGACGTATAAACAAAAACATGCACGTAATTGCACGTGATTACTTCGGTAATTTTCGCTATTTGGCGGAAACTATAGAGCAATTATCCAATCGTTGTTGCCTTTTAATGGAAGAGTCCATTAAATTTAAGGGTGAAATGGCGTTGTATATGTCGGATATAAACCTACTCTCCCTCGGATTGATATGGTAGAGAACGCTTGGGCTTCGCCCGCGCGTTCTATACCATATCAACCTCGGGTAGGTTAATATCCTATACATAAACAGATGATGGTTTATTATATTAATTGTATATAGACAGATGATGGTTTAGTATATTAACTGTGTATATAGAGAGCTGTTTATAATATTGTCTGTATATAGATAAAGAATTAATTATTATATTAATATTGGTGTCAGTCATTATCGCATATATGATAGACCTGGTAATAAACACGTTCTAAATATAATTTTAACACAAAGCTCATTGCTATGATAGATGCGTTATGATAAAGACCCCTAAGCGCAAGCGATTTATTGAAATAAAATTGAACCCTATATTAGTCCCGAAATAACCTAGTTTGTGTCGAGTGGACGTTAAACCCCATTTCTCTATCTCACCATTACTGTACTTTCTGTGTCCGATTTAGGTTATGCTTGCTTTGCCCGAATTTTTCATGCTGTATTTGCCGGAGTTGGGAGGTGTTTTGAATACTCTACCCACCTCGCTTGCTGTTGTGCTTTTATTTGTACACCTATATATTTGTAACAAATTCAAATACCAAAAACGGGTTTAATTATATATCTAAAAATACGAAACAAGCAGCTCAGGAAAACTTAGATACTTTATGCGTCACACCAAATCTGACAAACGAAAATCCGTCTAAAACTCAAAAACAAAATCCCTTAACTCTAGTTCCTATTGAGTTTCTGAAAATAGGGTGCATAGCTCTGGAACAGAAGGTCGTGGAATGCGGACAATCGATAGGTTTTTATCCTCCTGAAACCAATGTTTCACATCAAATCTGTGGAAAACTGTAGGTTTTATCGCCTTCGGGTTACCAGAACGGAGTTACTCTAATGCCTTACATCAATTTTATTCAAATCTGTTGTCATATCGAGAACTGGGGTTTCGGAAAAGGGAGGAGGTAACTGCAGAAGGTCGAGGAATCCTGAAAATGGACAACGTTCACTCCCTCCTGAACACAAATCTCACGCAACATTTTGGGTAAATTCGGTTCTCATGACCCTAATATTTCACACCCTTGTAGCGTCTATTGCCTTAGCGAGCCAGGTGATGACGGGTGGACAAACGACATAAAATACTCTCTTCTTAGTAAAGCAAGTCATTGAATATTCAATGAAATCATGTGTGTGAGAGAGAAAGAGAGAGAAATGGGGTTTACGTCCACTCGACACAAACCAGGTCATTTCGGGACTAACATATGGTTTAATTTTATTTCAACAACTCGCTTGCGCGTAGGGGTCTTTAGCAGTGGGAGGAAACCGGAGTACCCGGAGAAAACCCACGAGGTTGGACAGGCGACCCTACTCCTTGTCACGTACAACCGGGCATTCGAAACCACGCCAGTCGACTCAATGACAGACTTTATGATACAGCGCGCGCACACTAACCATTCACCCATCCAACCCCCCGAAAGTTGTGAGCTAGATTTACGGTCTGTTATAACATACTTTATACACTAACCTTCATAACTGAATAGCAGATCACATGACGTACTTTCACTGTGTATTGTAAAATGAAATATTCTTAACAACATTTTATGTAATACAGAGGTGTAGCCATTTTGTGAATTTGTTGAAGACTAAATTTTGTGTTATTTAATTAGTAATGGCCGCTGCATTTAATGTAGCCTTGTACCTCTTCTGTTTATGGTCTTGTATACCAGGTAAAGTTTTATGTTAGTCCTGGTAGATTGATAACTTAAGACCTAGTAGATTAATGTTGGACCTAGTAAGTAGGTTCATAATTATTATTCATTTGATAAAAATAACAATACGGTTTAACATAATGAATTAAAAGGCTTTTTCCAACCAAGGAAATTCCATGCTTATTTTCAAATAAAGTTTGAGCACTAGTAAATGAACTGGTTGGTTATCCCTAATTTAGTACTTCAAACTTATTTCAATATTCAGGTACCCGAAGACGTGTGTTGATATCAAAGTCAAACTACTCTCAAGGTTCTGTTTTAGAACCTGTTTTATTGTCCCCCGCCTTTCGAAGAAAGCATGTGACTATTAAAATGGGTTCGTCCGTCTGTCTGTCGCACTTTTTGGGACACAATAACTCTCTTTCTAATGGAGGTAGGTGTAGTTGTTTATTAGGTCAATACCTTGATGGGGTTCGAAGATGAGCATTTTCCGCTTAGGGCAAGCGGAGATAAGCAATTTGATGTATAGTTTCATTACATCAATGCCTTGACTATGTTCGATAATGAGCATTTTCTGCTTAGGGTAAGCAGAGCGATAAGCAATTTGATTGGCCAAGATTTTAGAACGCAATAACTCTCCTTCTAATTGAGCTAGAATGTTCTCACTAGGCGTAGGTGTTTATTATGTAAATGCCTTGATGGAGTTCGAAGATGAGCATTTTCTGCCTAGGGTAAGCAGAGATAAGCAATTTGATTCGTTGATGCTTTGGGACGCCACAACTTTAGTTCTAATTAAATGAGAGTGAGGACACTTGGTGTATAGCTTTATTATATCAATACCTTGACTAAGTTCGATAATGAACATTTTCTGCTGAGGGTAAGCAGAGGGATAAGCAATTTGATTGGTCGAGACTTTGGAACACAATAACCCTCCTTCTAATTGAGGTAGAATGTTCAAACACTTGGTGTGGGCATTCATTAGGTGAATCCCTTAATGGAGTTCGAGGATGAACAATGTCTGCTTACGGTAGGCAGAGATAAGAAATCTGATTGGTTGATGCTTTAGCGGCACGATAACTTTGGTTATAATGAAGTGAGAGCGATGAAACTCTGAATATAGATTCATTATATCATTATCTTGACTAAGTTCGAATGTGCGAAGTCTGCCTGGGCTAAGGAGCGATAAGCAATTTGATTGGTCAAGACTTTGGAACATAAAAACTCTGCTTTTAATTGAGGTAGAATGTTTAAACCTGATGTAGATGTTCATTAGGCAAATATCTTGACTGATTTTAATGATTAACATTTCAAGCTAAAGCTAAGCAGATCTAATCAATTTCATTGGTCGATGCTTTGGGACAAGATAATCTTGATTCTATCTGATAGAGAGTGATGAAACTTAGTGTGTAGTTGGATTGCTCGATACTTTTGAAAAAAAATAAATGTGCGATTAATTAATATGTGTCATCTATTTATTTTGGGATTTCGGCGGGGACATCAGCCTCACTGTTGGCTTGTTTACTATGTACACAAAGACCTTAAATTACTCTGCCCAACATATCCGAGTATCAGCGAAGAGACTCCTGGTTACCTCTATGAATTAATTCAACAGTATATTTTAAAATGACAGTTGCCTTAGGGCAAATGAACTTTTGTCTGCAGTTTTTGTATGCGCTATAAGCACGTTTTGTGAATCTAGCGCTATATATACATGGACATAAAAGTATCATGATGTCCGCTGAAAATGCTGTCACTATGGTATATAATGTTTCTAACACTGTTTTTTCTAAACACATTTATGTAACCATGGGATCTGAAAACACATCAGAGCTTACATTACATAAATTCATCACCTGTAAAGACGTATTTTCCATTTCACCAAAGCTATTTGTAGACATTACTACGTATATATAAATAAATATCCTTCGATTTATAAGGAATAGCCAATATTATCAATTTGAATTTTGTTTGGCCGTTTTGACCAATTTAAGGCCTTTATGTCCATAACCCGTATATTTATAATGTTACAGGTATGATAATAAGTGGTCGACCTTGTGTTGTACATCAGCTTTCAAATGTGTGCTCAATCCTAAATTCATTTTAGAGTAACTTGTCTTCGTCCTCGGCAACCAAATGATTAAAGCATGAAGACATATGTTATAAGTTATTTTGCTGGAGCAACGACTGTGAATTTTAAAACAACTGCACGTTGCTAGATTGCTTTACAATTCCCGAACGTTAACTCCATTTACTATTTTTATTGCACACATGTGAACAGTAGCGTTACTATGCTGTTACAATAACGTTACGTCATAACAGAGGACAATGACTATGTGAAATATAAAAATTAAAACGAAATAACATAATTAAAATAATCACCCCTTAGCATTCAAAATTGGGTTATATTTAGCGATAAAGTTGCTTTCTTTTGTTTCCAAGAGATCATTATCACTAATATTGAGTTTGTACAAAGGAAATATCTTGAATTGTCCTTTACCACAAATATCCAAATGTTCGCTCACCGGCAAAACTCTATTTCTTGCGAGTTTTATATTAGAATATCAGAATCAAACTTTGATGATGTTAATACTTTTCTAAGATTTTGAGGTTGTTTTAGACTATTTATAATTTTTGAATTTAGGATGTATTTTAATTTACGACTATTGTTCTTTAAAATATCCAACCGCCCCTTTACAATAGACAACCCTCTTTCTTGAGAAGGATTAAATGTTGTCACAAGTGTCATATTATTAGAATCGTTGTCTTTTATTTTGGGTTTTCTGAGATCACCAATGTTAAGTTTAGAGGCGTTTTCTATACCAATATTTATCAAGTTTAAAGGATAATGTTGTTTTGTAAGGAATTCCCTTAGCTCTTTCAGACGTTTTGTTTTATCCTCTTCCGAAGATACAATTGTACATATCCGTCTTGCAAGATTATAAGGAATATTCCTTTTGGTATGCGCTGAATGACATGAACGAAAGTCTAAGTATTGATGTGTATCAGTGGTTTTATAAAATAAGTCGGTTCTTATTTCTCCAGTGGATAAGAGCCTTACTGACACATCTAGAAAGTTGAGACTGGTTGTACTTTTTTCGATCGTGAAATTTAAACTTTTGTTCATCGAATTAAGCAGGGAATGGAGTTGAATAAGGAGTTCTGGATTATTTGGCAATATTATGAAGCAATCATCCAGAAATCTCCTCCATGCTGCTTCAATGAATAATTGTATTTCACGACCAAAATTCTGTCCAATTTCAGAATACCACAATTCTTCCAAATAGCCCAGAGTAAGCGTTGCATATGTTGGGCCAATTTTGGTGCCAATAGCTACCCCTTTAATTTGATCATAAAATTGCCCAGCAAAATAAAATATATTATTTGAGAGAACAATTTGAAGTGCTTCTACAACAAATGATTTTGTAAATCGAATTGGGCATTCTGTATTCAGCTTATCTATCCAGTAATCTACAGCCTTTAATCCAAAATCTTGTTCGATGTTACTGTATAAATTTTCAACATCAAAACTGACTAAAATGCTGTTAGCTTCTACAGATTCTGGTAGTTTGCACAAAAAGTCTATGTCATCTCGTAAAAAGCTTTTCA